GTTAGCAAACTCGGCAAGTGGATTTTGAGGCCTCTTATGATGATCGTACATGACGAAAGTGCTGTAAATACCGAGTAAAACGGATGTGCTCTTAAGATGGTTTTAAGCAAGTGTAGTTGGTAGGGGGGGGCGCCTACTACTACTACTACTACTACTGCTGCTACTACTACTACTACTACTACTACTACTACTACTACTCCTACTACTACTACTACGACGACGACGACGACGTCGGCTCGTACTGCTACTACCCCAAGCCCAAACCCCTAAATCCGAAGGCTCCCAACCCCGAAGCCCGACAATTTGAGGAGCCGAAGTTCGTCGCTCCAGCCGCTCCATCTTCTTCTCAAGCTTTCCAGCCGACATGGCGTGTAATATATAAGGGTTTAGGGTTTTTTTGCCTCCCACCTAGCTAGGTTTAAGGTTTAGGGTGCAATACAAAATGTATAATATCTTGTTCAAGCAGGGTTGGGGGTTCCTGTTCGGATGAGGGTACCTTTCCCCTCTCGACTGGCTAAGGGTGCTCTAGGGTTTAGGGTTCCCGTAAGGGTTCCACAGGGGGTAAGGGCTTCTCAAAGTTTTCTATAGGGTTATAGAGGGCAGAATATGGTGCTATGAGGGTTTTAACGACAGGGTTCAGAGACGCTTGTGGTTTTCATAGGGTTTCGGGCTTTACGGCTTTTAGTGAGGCTCTGTATCACTGCTTTTGTAGAGCTTACGGGTTATATGTGTGTCTCGCCAAGTGTTGACATGTGCGCTCAGCGTCTAAGCTTGGGATTCACGGCCCAAAAGACATTTAGCACCTGCATGGTCTGAGCCAAGGGTCGTCCTGCTCGCAAGGCATGCTCCAGACTGGCGGTCTGTGCAAGCTGGGCGGTCCTGCACGTGTAAAGACCTTGTTCTGGTACTTTAGAAGAAGCATCGAACATGGAGTACTCTGCGTCTGGGTGGTAGGGTATCTAAGTTCTACCTAAGGCAACTGCAATAAGAAAGAGATAACTAAAGAACACGAGATGCTGATGTCTGCGGGCACGACTGATAAGTTGTCAGTGTGTAGCTGCAAAAACCCATGCCGAGGATTTCGGATCGTGATGTACCGTAGGGGCCGAAATAATTTCCAATACTATTTTGGGGGGGTTCCGTATTTTGATTATAGTATACTAAACCCCCAAACCCTATTCTAGTTGTTAACGCCCCTATATTACGGTGAATAAGACCGTCTGCTCCAAAAGGATGGGTTTCTTCCTGAAAGTCTCTGGCAAAGCTTTTCTGGCTCAATGCTTCTGTTGTATCTGCAGGCGGCCCGTACCAAAGGCGCACTGGGCATTCGCACATCCGTGGATTAGGGCGATTAGGGTTCAGGGTGGAGGGCTGTTGAGGGTGTAGTGCAGTCCAGGTGCTTCGCTCTACTCTAATTGCGGAGCTGTGGAATCCCCATGCACGCCTTGTTCCTACTTGGGCTTGGCACATTGACAGAGAGAAACAATCTGTGCTGGGATGATTGCAGGAACCCAAGTCACGCCACGAACATGCTTAATTAAATGTTTACGCTTTCATCTCGATATCTCACGGCACCCCCGAATCCAGAACCCAACACCTGCGAACTTGAACGCTGAACTCTAAAAACCATCACCAGTAGATCACGAGGGTTCTCTGGTTGTCTCTCCTCAGAAGGCGGGAAAGCATCAGTCCACCTTCTTGGGCTGCGGTTGCATCTCCGCCGAGCTTTCAGAATTTCCGAAGAGGGCGCCTTGAAAGTGGGGCAAAGGGGACTTGGTGGCTTGGTTTTTTGCCTCCCATGCAGGGCTTAAGGTAATTTCCAAGGTTTAGGTCCTAGGGTTTCGGCTCCTTTCCGGTTTAGGTCTGTTCAGGGTGGGTGGAGGGAACTTCAGTTGTGGGATTCCAGGGTTGGATACCCCTGCTTCGATTTGTTCTCGCGGACGTATCACTGAGGTCCTACATGATCACGCACAAACTTCAATAAGGGCTTGGCCCGTTCGGCTGGTACTCTGGCGGACCCTAGCCTCCCTAGGCTCACACTGTTGGCCCGTTGAGCTGAACACCAGAAAGACGCAGAACTACATCTACTAATGTAGGGGCCTTAATAATTAGAATAGGGTTTGGGGACTTCCTCGTTATAAATATAGCACAATATACCCCCAAACCCCAATCTAAATATAAAGGCCCCTAGTATGAATTTGGGGTTTAGGGTTAGTGGACCCTCCCCTTGGCTGCCGTAGAGCGTCTGCCATGTCAGTCTCGCGGACGAGAAGAGTTCAGGGTACCCTTGTAGAACCATTATAGAAGAGTTTTTGATAATCATCTAACTTTCAGACTCTCTTATGCGTTAGGATGCTAGAACAGACCCCATGTAGGATCATGTAGAAACCCCGAAGGAAACAGAAGCCAGTGCAAACGGCTCCGCAATAGCAGCGAAGCCTAGGTCGGGTCTCCTTCCGAGCACATGCCCTACAGTGTAGCCCTGCAGCATTCCTTACCGACCATGGGTGCCCGAAAATAGCTACAGCTTTGGAGTGTCATTTTGCACTTGTCAAGGTCCTAAGCTAAGGTTTTTTGAATAGTCCGGACGGAAAGGAGGGGAACGGATACAAACACAAGCGTATGCCATGTGGGAGCCTAACCCTCAACCCCAAACCCTTACCCTCAACCCTCAACCCCAAAACCTACTGTTCTAACAGCAAAACCTTGAAGCCCGAACCGTGAACCCTCAGCACCCTGAATCCTCCCCCACCCTTTTGAACCAGGAGCTTGGGATATGCCTGGAAGTGAGACGACGCATCCTGCGCCCTAAAGGCCCCCAACCCCAAACCCAAAACCCTAAAGCCCTAAACTCCCAAAACCCTACACACACAAAACCCTAAACCCTCAACCCCAAAACCCTAAAACCTCGAAGCCTAAAGCCCTAAAACCTCAAAGCCTAAAGCCCTAGAGACTTCCTCATCCCTCCGGGCCGCTCCAGCCCTGCGCCACGGCGTCATCGAAGCTCTCGAGGGCGGTGGAGACATGCCCGGCGGCGCTCTCAACGAAGCTCGTCTCCTCCTCCTCCTGCGCATGAGGGCTTGGATTTTTCTAACTTGGGGATCTCTCCGTATCAGTAGCTACGATAGTAGGAAGAAGAGAGAGAGAGAGAGAGAGAGAGAGAGAGAGATAGAGAGTCTGATACTGAGAAATTATGATAAACACGCAGCAGGGATGTTGGATTCGAGGGGGGGAGTTCAGGAGCAGGAGCACGCACAGTGACTCACGAACCCCGGTTTCCCAGTGAATTTCAAATTGTGTGTGTGTGTGTGTGTGTGCGTGTCTCATGAATAAGTGTAAATGATTCACTGCGCGAGTTGACAAGAACGTGTAGGACTGGCAGGGCCAAAGCTTGTGCCGCTCTTTCTGACGCCGGTACAAGTCGAACGTCCAACAGACAAATGCCAAGATGCAGAACCAACGGCATGACACTGTGTTGCAGCAGAAGACAGAGCGTGAAGAACGCAACCGCAAATCGAAACCATCGATTCGCCATCCCTAACCCCCCAGGTACCTACTTTCTAAGGTACTTGGGGGGGTTAGGGTATGATGTCTCGAGGATGGCAAAGTTGGCATGACGAAACCTACTCCTTCATGCGTGCTGGGCCTGCCAAAGCTTGTTGAGGATTGGGTATCACGGAAGATGCAACTAGTCTGTCAGACTCTTGTTGTGACCGCCTCATGATGCGGCGATGTTTGGGGTTTTTGGATGCGGTTTTGAATAGTTTTCTTCAACTCCCCGAGAAATTGCCACGGGCATCTGGATGCTTGACACAAACTGGCAACCCACCATCCCATAAGACTAAACCGCACAAATGCCTATGCAGCCCTTCGGACTCACTCTCCCAAGAGACCGCAGTCCTCACGGATCACCAAGCTCTTGTCTCCGTTGGCCGATTTGAGCTCCTTTTAGGGTTTAAGGTTTAGGGTTTAGCGTTTAGGGTTTAAGGTTTAAGGTTTAGGGTTTATAGGGTTTATAGGGTTTATAGGGTTTAGGGTTTAGGGTTTAGAGTCCTGCTGCAAGCCGGCGGCCGAGAGGATGGTGATGAGGTCCAGCATGGCGCGGAAATCGCAGGGAGCGCGGCTCTTCCAAGATTTTCCAAGACTCGAAGCCGAAATGCTGCGAAGATCCCCCTTCATCCCGGTTTCAAAGCAAAGGACTTTTGCAAACTGTTAAGAGTGTCTCCAATCCAATCAGCTTTGGTCCTTCAGTACTTGACAGCTCAGGGGTCTTAGCTAAGTCCTAGGGTCAGCAGTGGGAGTAGAATCCGCAAAACACAGGCGCCGGATAGTTGGACTACGCCTCTGGGGAGCTATTCAGGCTCCTCTAGTATGCACTCTCCGTGACACGAACAAATCGATGGAACTGTCTGGCAAGGCTGGGGTCAGAGGTGGTTTAGGGTTTAGGGTTTAGGGTTTGGGGTTTGGGGGTTTTGAATCTTCCTATCATGGTCTTATTACGAAGAGGCAGGTGCTATAGTACCTACATCGCAGCACTCTTAGTGCATCAGTGCCGTCTTGCCACTGTCATGGTTGCTTTCCTTGGCTATATACTGTAGTAGAGCCTGCTACACTTCGAGATGCTTGGGACCTTTGCAGCGGTTGTGGCCCGCTCGTTTGGCACTTGTAACACAATCATTTCACGACCCCTCACAGATACCCAACTACTCTACCCTGCAAACCAAGTCGTGTCGACAAGGCATTTTCTGATCTCACAGTTTACACATGCTTACACGCCCTCAAAAGGTATGCCCCTCACAATAACCTTCAGTCCTAAACGTTTCTGATCCTTACTGCTAACCTCTACGTTCGCGCTTTTGACGGGCACGCCGCTCTGCGAAAGATAGCTCCGATCTTCAGAGCTTTCGAAGAGCTCGTCGGCAGCAATCGGCTCCAGTGTCTGGGCCTCGGACTGCTTGGAGTGGAGGGCGTTCAACATACTCGGGCTACTCTGGGTGGGTTCAAAATACTTAGGGAGAACACCATGAGTAACTCACCTTTTTTTGGTGGAGGGGCTGTATTTCATAAAGTTCTTAAAACTCGAATCCTGAATGTTTACAAGAAGTTCCTTAAGTCTCGTTTCTGCATATGCGAACCGTGCTGGATGCTGCTGAACTTGTGCAGCACCTGCTGCGCTAGAAGAAGCTGTTGGTTTCCGTATTACAGCTATAGCATAGCGTATCGCACTTATAGTATTCTACTTATACTACCGTAATATATAGTATAGTATGGTACTACATGTACAACAAGCAGTCGCTTCCGAACTCATAGACTTCCTCAGCAGCTCCCCTCGCCAAATACCTAGAGGATCCTACGGGCACTGAGCTTTGAGAGCAACGCCTGAACCCTTTTTATCACAAGGGACTCGACTGCTGCCCTTTCTTCCCATGAATCGAAACAAAGCCTGAACCCTGAAACCCTAACCCAAAGCCCAGTTTTGTTCGGGGGGTGCTTAGCACCTACTTGTGGAGCCCCCGGAAGCTGGATCCGTAAGGCCAAAACCCTTAAACCACCTGAACGTTAGATCATGCATGTAGGGTTTAAGGGTGCGTATATATATATATATATATATTAAAACGAGCAACCCCCATTTCGGGTTCAGGTGTTTGGTTTTGTGATCTGTCCCGGAAGTTAAAAGCTACTCCTCAAAGTTCTAAACTAAACCGCTGCGCTTGACCCTAAACCCCAAACCTTAAACCCTAGATCCCAATCTCTATAGACCCTAAACCCCAAACCCTAAACCCTTTTCAGCACGGACCGAGGTGCAACCCTAAAACCCTAAACCCCAAACCCTAAACCCAAAACCCAATACCCAAGCCAGCCGCTGCCGGCCAAGGGTCCAGGCGCTGCCGTGCATCTGCAGGTAACTCCATGTTGCCACGGTCCAAGATCAAGTAACCTGGCCGTTTTTTTCTGTAGGGTTTAGGGTTTAGGGTTTAGGGTTTTGGGGGGTCTATTTTTCATGAATCTAAGGAAGCCTACAAGGAAAAGTGTTTTGGAATTTTCCGGCCCCTAAGCCCTATGAAGCCAGTTTAGAGGATTTGTGGTGTACGCTTTTGAGAGCTCGTGGTTTCTAAGTGCTACATTATCGTAGAGGATTCTTATATCTCCTCCTCCACTTCGGTTTACTCCTACTCTAGCGCCTGGCACCACTACGACGACGGCACCGGCACCGACGACGACGACGACGACGACTGCTACAGCTGCTATGAATTACAACTGCTGCACCACACACTGCCAACAAAAATGGCTTCCTTTCATTGTAAATCTCGTCAGTACTGCGCAGAGGCACAGAGCTCTTGAAAATAGCGTGGTAAGACCAAGAGGCGTTGAGGGCTTGAAGCTTGGGAGGCGCAGCTGTACAGGACCTGCCAGTCCTGCCCGTCGTCTTCTCAAGTGATACCCACAAAAACTCGAAGCTTAGAGCTCCCAACGCCTTTAATGCAGGGGCCTGAATAATTAGAACAGGGTGTAGGGGTATATTATACTATAAGTATGGAAGGAGCCCCCAAAATAGTATAGGTAACTATTGAGGTCCCTAATATTACCATAAAACAAAATTTTGGAGTCACTGGTTTTGGGTTCTTAGGGGATGTGAATGTGACGACAACCAGGATCCAAAAGTTTTGCGACACTGCGGTGGCCATGGTCCTCATTCGTCATCACAGCAGTATAGAGCTTCCTCAGACGCAAGTTTCGGGGTCTGGGCTATAGTTTGCGAAGCTTTTGTAGGGTTTATGGTCTCTGCGTTCAGGAAAAGGGGGTTGGGTTTAGGACTTCAGGGATGTGGATTGAAGGCTTAACCTGAACCCTTAACCCTCACTCTCCCTCCCTCTCTCGCGGTGGAATTCGCCCAGCGGCTGCACGTTAGCCGCATCACCTGGAGCTGAGCTGTTTGGGTCCAACATGCTGGATCGTTGGGTTAGGGCCGGAGACCTTCAGAAACCCGACAGCTACGCCCGAACTCGATGCTAAACCTTCTAAGCCTCTAAACCCGACACCAGAACATCTTAACCCTGAGCTCTAAACTTCGAAGCCCGATACTAACCCCAAAGCGCTAAACCCTGACATCCTAAATATCTCCAACACCCTAATATAGGGGCCTCAATAATTACCAATACTATTTTGACGGTTCCATAATATATTTATAGCACAGTGGGTCCCAAAACCCTATTCTATAATCATGGCTGTTTCAACAATACT